ATGAAGAAGGGGTCATAGAAAAACAAAGATCAATTTCCTCTTTATAATTAACTTATCAATTGCTAGGAAATTTAGCATTCAAGTAAGCATACTCTTACTTGTATGCTCTATTATTAAGAAAATACTTGAAAAAAGCATCGTTTCAAGTTCTGGTACCAAACTACTTCTGTGTTATATGTGCCATCCATTTGAATTTCTTCTTTTAAAGGATATCTTATCTTAGGGGTCAGAGTGTATAATATTTCTTGAATAGGAGCATGTTAGTCCCAGTGGAGAATTAAAATCAGTTAATGTGAATGTCAAAAAAAATTTCATTCTTTTTTGATCACCAAGTAATATTTCAGTGTGTGTGTGTGTGTGTGTGCGTGTGTGTATGTGTGTGTGGACACAGACATACATACATATATACTACATCTTTTTTGTCCATTCATCAGTCAATAGGCATTTGGGATCTTTACATAACTTGGCTATTATTGATACTGCTGCTGTAAACATTGGGGTGCATGTGCCCATTCAAATCAGCATTTTTGTATCCTTTGGATAAATATCTAGTAGTGCAATTGCTTTGTGGAAGTTAGCCCTATGTTTAATTTTTTTAGTAACCTCCCCCATATTGTTCTCCAGACTGGCTGCACCAGTTTTCATTCCCACCAACAGTACAAAAGTGTTCTTTCTCTCCATCCTTGCCAACACCTATGATTTCCTGAGTTGTTAATTTTAGCCATTCTAACAGGTGTGAGGTAGTATATCATTATGGCTTTGATTTGCATTTCCCTGATGATGAGTGATATTGAGTATGGGTAATCCTTTCACTAATCCATTTAATTTTTAGGATCCCTGGGAGGGAGGGTATATCAAGGGGTACTTCATGAACTCTAGTCCTCATAGGCTAGCAGGAAACAGGTTTGACAACTGGAGTTGATCAAAAAGACCCAGAATATTTATGAAATTAGTTGATGCACGGTCAGTTCTGGATATAATAAAAGGCTTCCTACTGTCTAGCCAGATGTTTTGATGTATTGAGTGGGTACCAATTACCTGTATGCTGCCAGCCCTCCACCCTCTCTCCCAATTCCTCTTCAAAGGAGATTAAGCTTTGAAGATTTCCCCTATGACTCTTCTTTTTAATTTGACAAATTAAGCTGAAATTATTATGTTGATGCTTTTGGCTACCACCTTGTTTGTTCAAACATCTGGGGGAGGCAAGGGAATGGTGGAGATAGCAAAACACTGCTTAATTTTCTTGATTTGCAAGGCTTGTCCACAACAGGCCTCAGCAAGTTGGCAGGACCTCTCTTTGCTTGTGTAACTATTTGGACAGGTAGAACATACAAAGAACCTATACCAGGGAACCAGTGAGATTGGGCCACTTATGTAAATAGCTAGCAAGCCATGGAGTGGACATGTCTCATTGCCTTTTAAGTGTGGTCCTCCACCACTCATCCACTTTTAGCCATACTGATATTTGGATCCCCCCACCCCAAGGCAGTCTTACTGCCTTGCTTAGATATGGACCCTAGTACTTTCAGTATGACAAACGAAAACAACTGGACTGTGGTAAACATAAGATTGAAAGAATATATAGTGCAAAAGTGGAAAGAATATCACAGAAGGAATCTGGAGACCAGATTCAAATTTTAGCTTTGCCATTGACTTGCTGTGTGGTCTTGGTCAGGAATAGGTTTCTTAGACTCCCCATCATTATAAGTCATGTGTGTGTATATGTACATGTGCATGCATGCACATATGCATGGCCATGGCCAAAATTGTTGATGGGGAGGGTAGTCCTCTAAAAGCCCTGGTGACTGACATTCTAGAAGTCTTGAAGACTAAATATGACAAATGTGATGGACATTTTAGGCTTGCCCTACATTTCAGAATGTACCCATAAGGATTCACTAGAGAAAAAGCTTCCTATAAGACAATCCCTCTGTAGCTATTGAGTTCCACAGTGACCCGAGTCTGAAAAGGGAATGATGAGAAAGTTTTCTTACCAAATGAGACGAGGAAGAGCTTCACCAAGCAGCAGGGTGTCAGGGTTGTACACACGGGCTTGGTTGAGATTTATAGGTCAAACCAATCATGCTAATAAAGGAGGCATAGAGTACCTGTTGCCCCATTAATCCTGTTCAAAATTGCCTTTTTGTTTCCCACTCCCCACTTCCAGACAAAAACACATGAAATTCCTTCCTATATGCAGTCTTTAAATCATAGTTCAGGGGTGCCTGGGTGGCTCAGGTTGGTTAAGCGACCAACTCTTGATTTTGGCTCAGATCTTGATGTCAGGATTGTGAGATTGAGCCCCATGTTGGGCTCCTTACTGAGTGTGGAACCTGCTTAAGATTCTCTCTCTCCCTCTCTCTCTGCCTCTTACCCCACTCCGTCTCTCTCTCTAAAATAGATTAGATAGATAGATAGATAGATAGATAGATAGATAGATAGATAGATAGAAAAGAAAAATTCTTAAAAAAATAAATCATAGTTCAGTGCTTTCAAGTTTGGTATTAATGAGGCTCCCTAGATAGGCCAAGGTATTTTGAGCTATTACTGGTTCAAGCTTCAGGACTGGAGCCCCAGAGCATATGAGGGAATTAGATCTTTCAGGCATTGGGAAGAGGCAAATATTCCAGGGAATATGAAGACAACTGCTGCTGGGAACCTCCTCTGCAGAGGTAGAGGGAAAGAGGCCTGCTAACCAGCCACAATTTCAGTGTGCCTTAGAGTTGATGGTCTTGCTAAAGGTCATTTGGTGTAGCCGTCTGACTCTGCTCAGTCAACTATCCAACGTAAGCAAGACACAAGGGAAGGAGTATCCATGATTCCATAATAAGTTTAGGCCAGCGCTGGTTTCCTCTTACAAGCAATAGTTTCTTTATATAGATTCATTCCTTTATCCTCATCTCAAACAACCACTGCTGTTTTCTACTCTTTAGAGTATCCTTCAAATAAACTTATCCTTCAAATAAGACTAAAAAAAATATGCCAAATGCTCAGAATTGTGGTGTATTCCAGCCATCTATATTAAGAAGGATCAGAGGGGCACCTGGATGGTTCAGTTGGTTAAGTGTCTGACTTCAACTCAGGTCATGATCTCACAGCTAGTGAGTTCAAGCCCTGTGTCAGAATCTGTGCAGACAGCTCAGAGCCTGGAGCCTGCTTCAGATTCTATGTCCCCCTCTCTCTCCTCCCCTCCCCTGATCATGCTCTGTCTCCCTCCGTCTCTCAAAAATAAATAAACATTAAAAAAAAAAAAAAAAAGAAGGATCAGAGGCGGGGCACCTGGGTGGCTCAGTTGGTTAAGCATCTGACTTGGTTTCAGCTCGGATCATGATCTCATGATTTTTTGGGACTGAGCCCCTCATCGGGCTCTGCACTGGCAGTGGGGATCTTGCTTGGGATTCTCTGTCTCCCTCTCTCTCTCTGAACATTCTCTTTCTCTTTTTAAATGTTTTATTTATTTCTGAGAGAGAGAGAGAGAGAGAGAGAGAGACAGCATGAGCAGGGGAGGATCAGAGAGAGAAGGAGACACAGAATCCAGAACAGGCTCCAGGCTCTGAGCTAGCTGTCAGCACAGAGCCCAATGCGGGGCTCGAACCCACGAACCACAAAAGATCATGACCTGAGCTGAAGTTGGACGATTAACCAACTGAGCCACCCAGGCACCCATCTCCCTCTCTCGCTGACCCCTTCCCATTGGTGCTGTGTCTCACTCAAAATAAATAAATTAACTTTAAAAAAAAAAGAAGGATCAAAGGTAGAATAAAGGAAAGATTTTTTTTTTGTCTAGACCATGGTAAAATAGCTGTTTGCAAGGCTTCATCTCTTTAGAATATGGTAAACTGCTTGAAATGTTCGGCAGCCACTACCTCTCAATCACTGGAAATTATACTTCAGTTCAACCAAGTGGAACAACTGGCTCAACTTCTATACTGTGACTATGAGGTTTAATATTGCTGACCCCTCCTTGGTAGCATTTCCAGCCTCTCTCATCTTCGTTATGTTAGCCTGTGAACCATCAGATTTCACAACTTGGGTCTGAGAGATAAATGTAAAATCTCATTACTCCTGGTTCTCTTGGTAGGCACAAGAGACAAACACTAAATGGTATACTCAGCACATATACCTGTGAGTCCTTATAATTCACAGATCTGTTTCAATTGAACAGAACCCCAAGAACCTCAACAAAGCAGCTGCATTACAGAAGGAAAATCTCCATTTATTTGTTAGGTTGTATATATCCTCTGCAAGTGAATATCTAGGAAATGCTTTAGTGACTTCAGCCACTGAAGACTTGCTGAGTTTAGAGATGTGACTGTTTCCAATGAAATAGAGGGCTGTCAGGAATTATTTTTATAAGCAGATAATAAAAAAGATAATTTGGTCTGTCAACAGGGCAGGAATGAGGACCTTGGCCTCAAGTGTGCAAGCTTGGGTAAACCTAGTAAAATATGTCAGGATGAGGTAATCTCACCAATAGAAAAAGAAAAAGGTTGATGGGCCTGCCCCAGAGAACCAACCTCATAGTCTGTGTCTGGTAGTGAATTAGTACATACTACTTATACAAATGTTTATCTGGTTGTGATAAAACTCCAAGACTGGAAAGAGGCTTGAAGGGTCAGAGAGTGAGGGAGATACAGACTCTGAAATAGGCTCCAGGCTCTGAGCTGGCAGTCAGCACAGAGCCCGACGCGGGGCTCGAACCCACGAACCGCGAGATCATGACCTAAGCGAAAGTCGGACGCTTAACCGACTAAGCCACCCAGGCGCCCCAAATCTTTCATTTCTTAATGAAGTGTTATCTCAAAGATTTCTCCAACCTTCTTAGAAAGACATTGAAGTACACAACACTTCTCATTAGTAGAAAGTATTGCCTTGGCTCTAATCTAAATCCTTTCTGCTGCTCTTCATATTTAATTTCTTTTTATCCATCTGTGGCTAAGATGTGATGTCCTAGATAAGCTATTCAGACTCCACAATGCCCCTGTTGGTAAGGATCCTACCTCCCAGTCTAGGACAGATGCCTGCCACTGGGCAATCTTGTCAATATTCTCCAAACGCCGCTTGCGCTCATTGATCTGCTGAGTCACATTTCTCATGACAGCTAGAGCAGCTGCCACATACCTGTAGTCACTGTGAAGACACAAAAGTGCAAGTTCAGTGAATCAATGTGCTAGAGAACCAACTGTTGGGTGCCAACCCTAATGTCCATTCTTCTCTTCTTACTTAGTAACAGAGCCCTGATTTTCAGATGGAACCCATGTCACATGGAATAAAAAATTACATTTCTTATATTTATTTACAGTAAGGGGTGACTATGCAACTAGCCCAGTGATACATAAATAGAAATGTTGGGCAGAAATTTTCAGAATCCTCCTTTAAGGAAGATAGCATACCCTTCTTTAGCCCTTACTCAATCCTGATGCTTGGATAGTTGAACTTCTGGCAGCCATCTTGGACCATGAGGACAAGGTTCCTTCTTCTAGGGATATAATAACAGAAAGTTGGGAGAAACCCAACTCTCTGATAACCATAGAGTACCATAGCAGTCATGGACTGCCTACCTGCATACTCTTATTTACATGCAAGGGAAATAGACTCCTATCTTTTGTTACAGCATTATTTTTGTATCCAGTATCATATAACCAGCCAAGAATCAAGAAGGCAGCCTTATTCACAGCACACTCCAGAACTTTTCCATCCTTTCTATCACTTATTTCTAGGGAACTCTGCCCAAAGTCACTGTGAAATAATATCCACTCTTTTCCTCCAGTATGATATAGAAATAGGATGTAGCATAGTGGTTAAGAATAGACTCTGGAGCCAGACTCTTTGGGCTCAAACCCTAGTTCTGTCACTGGCTAGTGGTATGGCCCTTGGCAATTCTCACTGACTCTCTCAATGACTCAGTTTCCTCATATGCAAAATGGGGAGAATTATAGTAGGATTTATTGAGGGTTTAGTCATCCACATAGACATTTTTACTCTTGGCTTATAGTAAATAGTAGCAGTATTATTAATACAAATCAAAGTGCAACTTCTAAGCCTAGTTTCCTGGGATTATGGATGGCCTACTTGTTGAAAGTTATACCACCCTGCTCAATTTTCTATGCTTGTCTGATCTGATTTCCAATTAAATAGTTCTTGTGAAAGGCAGGTTGAAAATGAGATCCCAGCCATTTTGTGGAGCTATAATAGACTGAGAAGGCAAGAGGATGAGTTATGATTCAGTCTTAACTAACCTTTTCTTTAAAAACTGAACATGCTTTGTGGTCATTAACCTGTTCACTGTCCTAGCACCCATTTGAAAGAAGAAAGGAGGAAAAAAAAAGATACACAGTAACTTTTTCTTTCCTAATACACTGAAGTGCAGGATGGTTGACCAATCATAGGTACAGGGAAGGTAGTTCTAACTGCCAAAGCAGACATTATGCAGTACCTCCTCTTAGATGGCCTCCCTGTGTTCTCTGAACACTTGCCAGACCATAGTCTTCAAATGCTACTGCATATTATCACCTCCAGTGACCAGATATTCTACACCTGCTAACCACTTTACTCTGTCTCAAGATAGCTGTGTTAAAAACAAACAAAAACAACATAAAAACCCATATTTATTCTGAGCCTTAATAAATGTTAGCTATTATCAGTTTTCCTTCTGGATCCTACTGCTGACTTATACTGAACTCATGGTTGACTAATGCTTCCTAAGTCTCTTTAAAATATGCTGTCTTGGGGGCACCTGGGTGGGTCAATTGGTTAAGCATCCATGTTTCAGACCAACCAAGGTCATGATCTTGCAGTTTGTAAGTTCAAGCCCCGTGTCCAGCTCTGTGCTGACAGCTTACAGCCTGGAGCCTACTTTAGATTCTGTGTCTCCCTCTCTCTCTGCCCCTCCCTCCTTATCTCTCAAGAATAAATAAACATTTATAAAATTAAATACATTGTCTATAAGCTGAATCTCTCTAGGTCTGTCCTTGAGCTCTAAGTCTCCCTCTTAATTTCTTAGACCCAATTACAAAATCTTACATTTGTTCCTGTTATATTTCATCCTTTTACAGTTACTTGCTGCAGCCTATGGGCAATCTATTGGACTCTGTGTGACTATCAAAGTTTCTCCCTGGCAAGACTACCTGAGTCTGCCATTTGGAAACAGAATAGGGTGATAATGGAAGGGGTAGCTGAAGTGTAGAAGATGCTGACATAAATAAGTACCCCTTTTCTTTGGGCCCACTTAATGTCTCCCATGCTATTCCTCTCTCTGGTTTGAGATATCAGAAAATGACTTAAGCCACTTTTAGTGAGGTAAAACATAAAGCTTTATGTCCAATATGGTAGCCACTAGCCACATTTATTTAAAATTAAATATAATTAAATATTATTACTTCAGTTGAACCACCTACATTTCTCAACACTCAATAGCCATATACGACCAGCAACTACTACATTGGACAGAACTGATATAAAACATTTATATTATTGTAGAAAGTTCCATTGGACAGCACTGGTATCAGAATGCCTATCATCTCTGACCCCATGTACTACTTAGCCATGGACTCATTACTGTCACTATTCGAGACAAGTCAACCTTTGCCATATTTAGCTGGCTGCCTTTCTTACAATGGTTCGAGGGTGAAATGTCCCGATTTTTAACCTGCCCCACTAGATTTAGCAGTGGCTGAGAAAAGAAGTGAATAGTTTTTGTCTTGCCTGAACCCTGCTCAGAGCCCCCAGCTCCTTGATGAGATCTACTAAACCAGGATTGTCTTGTTCCAGACATGTCAGCTAACCTCCCCCTGATATAGTCTTCCTTCCTGTCAGCTTAAGGAAGGTTGTATGGCAGGGTGGGAAAACATCACCCGTCTTCAAGAAAAGGCAGTATTATCATTCATTTATTACTCTCCATCCATTGAATCTTCTCCTTTAGAGGCCGCTTTGACTGCTTGCATTTCAGACCTCCTTATCTGAACACCTATCCGACTAAGCCCTCAAGCTGACAGCAGCCTCTAATTGACTTCAAATCCAAGCTACTCTGAGATGCATCACAGGAGCCATCATCTTAATACAGTTTCCTGAGACCTGCCCAAATAGGTGGCCCATGGCCTAGGGGTAGTGCTGGGCCCAACAGGTCACTCTAAAGGGGGACAGTGATTCATGTGCCCTACCAATGCCTGAGCCATTCTCTCAGGACTCTGGAGCCCAGGGCATGGAAAAAGAGGGGACCAGGGACCCAGAAGGCAAGAAGGCTTTGAGACAGGGGTTCTAGTCACAAGGTGAAGGAGCATAGGGATAGCAAGTCCCTTGCAGATATCCCATCTAACTAGATCCCACTAAACTCAATAAGGGCCTGAGGTTGCATTGGCTTAAGAAACTTACATAGCTTTTGGCTGTGCTTTGAAAAGGTCTTTGTGGGGCTATTAAAAACAATTACACAATATATAATTTATCTGTTAATATCATCAGTCCGCAAGTATGATTTTTAGAACCTCCTGCTATATTCTATGAAATAGATACTCAGGAGTAGGTGAGAGATGAGCTGCAAGATAAAAACATTTGAGAAACACTCTTTGAATACCCCGGTCACTCCTATGAGATTTAGGTTCAAATGATTATTGCTTCTGGTCACTTAGCACCATGAAGTATAACTGTGGAAGTCATTTAGGCTCATGACATCATAGGCTGGGATAACTGGAAGAGGTCTTCCAGATTGCCTAGTTATATGGTTCATAAACCTTTTTGGGACATGAAAATTATCTGAAAGCCTCTTACAAATCTAGGTTCCCAGACCACTGTCCACACTTTGTGTCCCTGCCTTGCCACACATATATATTTGCTTTCTGGGCCTCAGTCCTTCCAGTCATAAAATGAGAAAATCTGGCTGCAAGACCTTCAATTAAGGGCCTTTCCATTTTAGGTGCCATAAATATTTTCCATTTTTTAAAATTACTTTATTGTCAAGTTGGTTTCCATATAACACCCAGTGCTCATCCCCACAAGTGCTCTCCTCCATGCCCATCACCATTGTTATTTTTAAAATATACTAATTTTAGTGGGAGTTCTTCAGTGTCTTATTAGTTCTCACAAGAAATTGTATCCTTAGAAAAACTGGGACTCCATTCTGGCAATGGTCTGTATTAAGTATTTTAAAATAACTTTCTGTCACCTCCAAATTTCATGTCTAATGAGGATGCCCACCAATCCCCAGCTAGTAAACAGACTCGGGAAGGAGGGAACAGAGTCCTCTTTTGTGAGGTCCTTCATTACCTGTCTCCCTCATAGCCAACACAGCATGGCAGGCAGAGCTACCACTGGTGGTATTCACACACAAAGGGAGAGTCCAGTGTTACCACATTTAGATTCAAATTTGAAATTTCTCCAAGGCTCCAGTGCTATTGAGGCACATGACCCATGATTTGCTAAAGAAACAACATCAACTTAAAAATGAACCCAGGAATTGGCTTTAAGCTTAGCATAAACAAAGCCATCTAGCCAATATCCATGGCCTTATGCAACTAGGTCTGGAGGTCAGCTCCAAGAAACTAGGCAATGGAGCCAAATGAAAGTAGGAAGTAGAGAGGTAGAAAGTAGGCCTAATGAGAATTAGGCAGAAAGCTAAGGGAAATTAGACAAAAGTCATCTTTCTTCTTGGATGGTTCAATCAGGAAGAGAGTTGAAATAAGTCTAAGGTCACGGATTTAATAATAATTAAAGGCAGGCTATAAAAAGGCTGAGGGCTTTAGCTCATAATGTAAAGCATGTGAGGGGGGGTGGTTCACTCATTGTTGGAGATGACTCTCAGCATATACCTTACTGGTAGGCTCATTTGCTGGTAGGTCATTTCCAGTTAGAGAGGGAGAGATAAGCTTCTTCATTTAGGGGTTGGTTTTCTTGAAAATACTGAAAAATTGTATAAAAACAAAAAACAATACTTCAGGAGAAGTCTCAAGTCTATTTCCCCCCAGTCATACTCTGGGTCTAAAGGGAAGGTACAGTTGGGATGAGGCAGAGGAGAGTGGAAAAGACTAAAGAATACCAGGGATGTGGCCATGTAGAAGAAAACTAACATGAGTACAAGTTATGTAGGCTGTTATTAGGATATTGAACCTAACAGAGTGGAATAAACACTTATACAATCATTCCATTTGGATTCATTAACTTGGCTAAACTCAGATCTAAGGACCCAGCTGAGTTCCCTGAAGGAAGGGTCTAAGTTGTTTAGTAATGATGATGCATACTGATTTTTTGTGCATACTGATTTACAGCTTTATAAGAAACTCTCATAAGTGTCCCCGTGCTTTACACACACAATAATGTAACAAAAAAAAATCATCATCCCATTGTGCAGATAAGCTAACAGAAGCTCAGAAATGGCTAAAAGAGATATATTCTTCATAAACACCAATATGTAGATGATAATCTCCCTAACTCCTGCTTCCCTTTATCCTTTACCTGTGGTCCTGGGCGGTATACTTGAGGAGCTCAGCCAGTTGTAAGGGATACTTGCAGATCTTCTGCACTGGAGTCAAAAGGAATCCATCAATAGCAATGTCGATCATTTGCTGCAAGAGGCGGCAAGCCTCAAAGAAGTGCTGGTAGCGGCTGTCTTTCATCAGTTTGGAGAGTTCCATGCAGGCATCCAGGTGGTTGTTACAGTACTCAGAGTATATCCAGAATCCATCTTGCTATGAGCACAGGAAAAATGGAGAAGAAAAAATGAGTACTGAGTATTCCAAAGAAATTTTGGAGAAATAAGAAAACAGATCTTGTCCTTATGTAGTATATTAAAATGATAACAATATCAATTTTTCCTAAATTGATCCAAAATTTAATTAGTAATAGAAATAAAGGAATTATTTGGGAAGTAGAAAAACTGCAAACATTTGTATAGAGAAAATAAGTAGGAACATAATGAAATTCTATAAAAAAAGGGTAATAATGGAGCGCTGACCCTGACAAAAGTGAGAATACTACAGCAATAAAATTATGGCACTAGATTTTATTATTTTTTCAAGTTTCTATTTTATTTTTTCCCCTTGTTTTGATATGGGCAATTTTGATGAAATTGTTGTTACTAATATACTGTTGGGCTATCCAGGGAAACCCATAATTACATAAAGTATACTTTTTAAAACATTTTTTATAGTTTATTGTCAAGTTGGTTTACATATAACACCCAGTGCTCATCCCAAAAAGTGCCCTCCTCCATGCGCACCACGCCCCCTTCCCCTCTCATCAGTTTGTTCTCAGCATTCAAGAGTCTCCCATGGTTTGCCTCCCTCCCTCTCCCCAACTTTTTCCCCTTCTTCTCCCGCCTCGTCCTCCGTTAACTTCCTCCTAATCCACCTATATGTGCAAACATATGGTATTTGTCCTTCTCTGCCTGATTTATTTCGCTCAGCATAACACCCTCAAGATCCATCCATGTTGCTACACATGGCCAGATTTCATTCTTTCTCATTGCCATGTAGTATTCCATTGTATAAATATACCACATCTTCTTGATCCATTCATCAGTTGATGGGCACTTAGGTTCTTTCCATGTTTTGATTATTGTTAGGAGTGCTGCTATGAACATTGGCCTCTACTACAAAGCTGTAATCATCAAGACAGTATGGTATTGGCACAAAAACAGACACATAGACCAATGGAATAGAATAGAGAAATCAAGTTTCTATTTTCATTCCAGATAGTTAACATACAGTATTATATTAGTTTCAGGTGTACAATATATTCAACAATTCCATACATCACCCAGTGCTCATCACAACAAGTACACTTCTTAATCCCCATCAATTTTTTCTCTGCCAGGTAAGAATCTGTTTCTTGGTTTGTTTCTGTCTTTTTTTCCTCTGTTGCTCATTTGTTTTGTTTCTTATATTCCATATATGAGTGAAATCACATTGCATTTTTCTTTCTCCTAGATTTTATATCCTTTAGCTTGATCCATATATCATATATTTGTCTTTCTCTGATTGACTTACCTCGCTTAGTATAATTTTTCTAGCTCCATCCACATCATTGCAAATGACAAGATTTCATTATTTTTTATGGCTGAGTAATAGTCCATTGTGTATCTATACTACACCTTCTTTTTTTAATTTCCTTTAAAACATTTTTAATGCTTATTTACTTTTTTTTTCTTTACAAATAGTTTATTGTCAAGTTGGTTTCCATATTACACCCATCTTTATCCATTCATCAGTTGATAGACATTTGGGCTCTCTCAATAGTTAGGCTACTGTAGATAATGCTGCTATAAACACTGGGGTGCATGTACCCCTTTGAATCAGTATTTTTGTATCCTTTGGGTAAATAGCTAATAGTGCAATATCTGGATCATAGGGTATTTCTATTTTTAGTTTTTTGACAATCTCCATACTGTTCTCCAGAGTATCTGCACCAGTTTGCATTCCCACCAGCAGTGCAAGAGAGTTCCCCTTTCTCTGCATTCTCCTCAACGCTTATTTCTTCTGTTAATTTTAGCTATTCAGAATGGTGTGAAATGGTATCTCATTGTGGTTTTGATTTGTAGTTCCCTGATGATGAGTGATGTTGAGAATCTTTTCATGTGTCTGTTAGCCATCTGGATGTCTTCATTGGAAAAGTGTCCATATCTTCTGCCCGTTTCTTAACTACGTTGCTTGTTTTTGGGGTGTTGAGTTTGATCAGTTCCTTATAGATCTTGGATACTAACCCTTTATCATATATGTCATTTGCAAATGTCTTTTCCCATTCCATAGGCTGCCCTTTAGTTTTGTTGATTATTTCCTCCACTTTTCAGAAGCTTATTATCTTGATGAAGTTCCAATAGTTCATGTTTGCTTTCATTTTGCTTACCTTCAACAATATGTCTAGTAAGAAGTTCCTACAGCTGAGGTCAAAGAGTTTGCCACCTGTGTTTCCTCTAGGATTTTTGTGAGTTCCTCTCTCACATTTAGGGCCTCATCCATTTTGAATTTATTTTTGTGTACTGTGTAATAAATCCATGTTTCTTTGTTCATATTCTTCTTAGAAAATCGCTTCTGTTGATTTTCCATTGTTATAAATGGCGTATGAAAGTCCGCTGCTACTGTGTTATTATTATCAAGAAGTTTCCTTCTACCAGTCCACAAATTGATTTCCTGGGTGTTCCAAGTGATCTGACCTCAATACGGCTGTGTTTGAGAGACCAGGGAAGCCTAGGGTAACCCTATGTCTCCATTATCTTTACTCCTCTCAAGATTTCATTCTTTTATATGGCCGAGTAATACTCCACTGTGTGTGTGTGTGTGTGTTGTTGTTGTTGTTTCTTATTTATTCATTCATCAATTGATGGACATTTGAGCTGTTTCCATTATCTGGCTATTGTTGATAATGCTGTTATCAATTTTGGGGTGTATGTATACCTTTGAATTACTAATACTGTACCTTTTGCATAAATACATTGTAGTACAATTTCTGAATGGGGTAATTCCATTTTTAACATTTTGAGGAATCTCCACACAGTTTTCCAAAGAAGCTGCACCATGTGCATCCCTACCAACAGTGTAAGAGGGTTCTTTCTCCACATCCTTACCAATATCTGTTGTTTCCTGTGTTTATTATAGTCATTCTGAAATGTGTAAAATGATATCTCATTGTACCTTTGATTTGTATTTCCCTGATAATAAGTGATGTTGGAAATATTTTCATGTGTCTCTTAGCCATCTCTATGACTTCTTTGGAAAAAAAAAATGTCTATTCATGTATTCTGCCCATTTTTTAGCTGAATAATTTGTTTTTCAGGTGTTGAGTTTCATAAATTCTTATATATTTTGGATACTAACCTTTTATCATAGATGTCATTTGCAAATATCTTTTCCCATTTCTTTTAGTTTTGTTGATTGTTTCCTTTCCTGTGAAGAATTTTAATCTTGATTATGTCCCAACAGTTTATTTTACCTATTGTTTCCCTTGCCTCAGGAGACATATCTAGTAAGAAGTTGTTATGGCTGATGCCAAAGAGGTTAGTTATTGCCTGTGTTCTCCTCTAGGATTTTTTTCTTCGCCATTTCTAACAGACTCAATTTATTGGCCCCCAACATTTAATCACCAGTATCTAAGCACCTCTACTCACTTTAGCTTTTATGAAGCTTTTGTTCAAGCAAGCACTCCAATAATTTTCGTTATGCTCCTCCGCTTTTATGTGTGGTTTGTAATAGATAGATGATAGATAGATAGATAGATAGATAGATACAGATATATTTTTATATTTGTAAAATATTTATTTATTTAATTTTATTTAAATCCAGGTTACTTAACAGGTAGTATAATAATGCTTTCAGTGGTTGAATTTAGTGATTCATTACTTATGTATAACACCCAGTGCTCATCCCAGTGAGTACCCTCCTTAATGCTCATCACCAATTTACCCCAAACCCCCTCCATGCAACACCCCTCCAGTAACTCTCAGGTTTTTCTCTGTATCTAAGAGACTTTTAATGGTTTGCCTCCCTCTCCGTATATATCTTATTTTTCCTTCCCTTTGCATATTCTCACCTATTTTGTTTCTTAAATTCTACATATGAGTGAAATAATATATTTCTTTCTGTAAATTACTTATTTTGCTTAGCATAATACATTCTAGTTCCATCCATGTCATTGCAAATGGCAAGTTTTCATTCTTTTTGATCGCTGAGTAATATTCCATTGTGTGTGTGTGTGTGTGTGTGTGTGTGTGTGTACACCACATCTTCTTCATCCATTCATCAGTTGATGGACATTTGGGCTCTTTACATAATCTGGCTATTGTTGACAGTGTTGCTGTAAACATAGGGGTGCATGTGCCCCTTCGAATCACCATTTTGTATCCTTTGAATAAAAACCTAGTAATGCCATTGCTGAGTTGTAAGGTAGCTCTATTTTTAATTTTTTGAGGAACCTCCACACCATTTCCCAGACATGGCTGCACCAGTTTGCATTCCCACCAAAAGTCCAAATCGTTTCCAGTGTCTCTGCATCCTCACAAATATCTGTTCTTTCCTGAGTTGTTAATTTTAGCCATTCTGACAGATTTGAAGTAATATCTCACTGAGGTTTTGATTTGTATTTCCCTGATGATGAGTGAAGTTGAGGATCTTATCATGTGTCTGTTAGCCATCTAGATGTCTTCTTTGGAAAAGTGTCCATTCTTGTGTTTTGCCCATTTCTTCTCTGCATTATTTGCTTTTGGGGTGTTGAGTTTGATAAGTTCTTTACAGATCTTGGATACTAGAATATATATTAGTACCTGAATGTCATCCAATATGTCACTTGAAAATACCTTCTCCCATTCCATCAGTTGCCTTTTAGATTTTTTAAAATTGTACAGTTTATTTTTGAGACAGAGAGAGACAGAACATGAGCAGGGGAGGGGCGGAGAGAGAGAGGGAGACAGAATCCAAAACAGGCTCCAGGTTCTGAGCTGCCAGCACAGAACCTGATGCGGAGCTCGAACCCACGAACTGCGAGATCATGACCTGAGCCAAAGTAGGACGCTTAACCAACTGAGCCACCCAGGCACCCCGGATGCCTTTTAGTTCTATTGATTGTTTCCTTTACTGTGTAGAAGATTTTTATCTTGATGAGTTCCCAACACTTTCGCTTTGCTTTTGTTTGCCTTTTTTGTCCAGAGACATGTCCAGTAAGAAGTTGCTGCAGCCAAGGTCAAAGAGGTTGCTGCTTG